AATTGTTTATAATTGTTGGGACTAGTTCTATAAAAAAAAAAAGAAAAAGAAAAAACCCAAAAGGCTGAAACTAGTTGTTGGGGACCATCGTGCGGGCCAAGCATGACTCGCGAGTTGGGCCGTGCCAGCCCGTGGACCTATAACCTGAGGCCTAGCATGACCTAGACCATTGTTCCAGGTCTGACACGACCTACATTCCATCGTGCGATGTCGGGTCGGGTTGTGCTGAACCATAGGCGGCACGGCCCGATTTACACCTCTAGTGACAGAATGGAGTTAAAAGAAGCAACATTAATTTTGGATGAGATGGTTTTCAAAGGATTTATTCCATGAGCTTCAACTACAAATAAGTTTTTGGGTTAGTTAGGTTTTAAAAGAGAATTGCAAGAAAAAGAAAATAGAAAAAGTTTAGTGGGGTATTTTGATAATTTAATGCCTTCCTCATCTGACTTAACGACCAAGGGGTATTTGTCGCAATGTAAAAGTCTAGGGGGTCTTTGTCGTAAAAAAAAAGTATAGGGTTTTTTTTTAATTTACCCTAAAAATCACTATTATTATTAAAATCAAATCAATAGTATCTAAATTAATATTTTATCATATATTCCATTTTATTTATAGGACAGTTTTTTTTTGTGAAGGATAGGATAGGTTGAGATGGTGGTGATATGGGGTCAACAAAAGGGAAAAAGATAAAGAAGGGTAGGGAGGGAAATAAGAAGAGAATGCGGGATGTGGGAATTTTAGGGTAAGAGAGATTGAGAGAGGTTTTAGGAAGAATATTTAACAATTAGGAAGTCGATGGGAATTTTAAGAAAGCGGGGATTTAGAGATAAGATAAAGATTTTAGGTAATTGGGAAGTGGGTGGAAATTTTAGAAAAGTGGGAATTGAAAGATATAGTTAAGAAGAATTTTAACCTTGCTGATGTGGCATTTTGAGAGAGTTTGAAATGTTGTAAGGCAAAGAGACCGTATAAGCACATTTGGGGTAAAGTAGAAAGGAGAAGCCATATAACATGGCCATCTTTATTTCAATACCAGTGGGGATCCGCACGGACTTTGTTGTGAATGTTAAACAATAGAAATACATAAGAGTAGACAATTTGTTTTATATTTTAACTTTTAAAATGATTAATAATTATTTATATTTTATATATTATTTCTTTGCAATACAAAAATAACAATAATTAATTCAGTTAGGGTTATTCATCAAACCAATGAAACCTACCAACCCGACCCAACTCAACACAAGTTGGTTACTTTCTCGTATTTTCGTTCGGGTTCAATTCAACAATTTCCTAATCTAATCAGGTCGAATAAATTTCATTTTGACCATTTGTAAACAAACTAAAATCAAATGAACTAATAAATTGAGTTTTAGATAAGCTGGTTTTCTAATTTATAATTTATTTTGTAAATTTATGATAATTTTGTATGAATTTACTAAAATTTTAACCAGACTATATTTGATCAATTAGATATCTGAATATGTAAATAAATCACCTTCAAATTTATATTTTGCATATTCACTGGATCTTAGATTAAATTTAGATCTGTCAGATTTTTATTGGATTGGATTTAGAGATTACACCATCCGAATTCAAATTAATCCATTACAGTTAGGGGTATAAATGGTATTCGAAAATCCAAATTCGTATTTGAGATTTGATATAATCGAATCAGATTCAAATGATTCGAATGTTATTAACGGTCGAATTCGAATAATACATCTATACTGATTAATTTATCGAATCGAATTCGAATAACACCTGATGCGATTCGATTATATAGATTGTAACTATGTAAATTGTACTTATAATAAATGATGACTATAATTATATTTATATTAAAGAAATATATTATTTTATTATTTTATTAAAGTACATCGAATGAAGCCTTTTGAAAAGTTTTTTTTAATATTATTTTAATAGCAAAAGTTGAATAAAGACAAACTATTTCAGAGGCTATGATGACTTTTCAAATAAGAGGCATGTTTCATTAATTATCTCTCATTTTTTATTATTATTTTAATGTTTTTTTATGTTGGTTTTTCGAATAAGATGCATGTCTCATTAATTATCTCCCACCTGTTGGTATTATTTTAACATTTGTTATAATGATTTCTTGAATAAGAAGCATGCCGCATTAATTATCTCTCACTTTTTAAATATAAATTTAATATTGGCGCTTGTCTCATTTATTATCTCCCCCTAGTTGCATTTGAATCATTTCAATTTTATTATTCACTTTCTTCTTCTTGGATTCAATCCTGTGTTTTTTCTTAGTTCTTCTTTGGTTTATGGTTGCATTTCTTCTCTGCCTTTTTTATGGATTGTTACAGCTTTATAAGTTTAAACCTTTTTGATTTTTTATTTTTGAATTGCATTCTCTTTCTCTCTCTCTATGCATTTTGTAGAGATGAATATAGAGATCAACAATCTCTCCATCGTAGAATACACCAATAGCGATTTCTTTATGCTTATTGCAAAACACACCAACATAGCAATACCAAATCGATGGCTACTATTCAAAAACTTTTTTTTATTTTTATTTTCTTTATGTTTCTACCAGGTTGGATCAATAGAGTATGAGAAAAAATTTCTGGGTTTCTTCTTATTCATTTGGTGAAGTTGGGATAGATTGGCATTAAAAAATTTTTGAATTTGATTCGAAATCGAATATTGGATCATATAAACGAATTCAAATTCAATTTAGAGTTTTCAAAAACCATGGACTTCGAATGTTTATATTTTTAATCAGTTTCGAATTCGAATCTGATTCGATTCGAATTCGCTTCGTTTACACCCTTAATTGCAGCCTTATTTTTAGTTGGATGACGCTTCATTAACGCTTTTGAAAGAGATGGTGACAAGTGGCAGAGGTTAAATGTGGTTGTGCCTTCACAATAAAGGTTTGTTAGCACAACATTGTTGTTGTTGTCCTTCGACCATTTTCACGTCTTTTTCACCCCTTAAGCTATTTATCAGGACGGAAAAGGTTGACTGGATTAATGATTTTTAGTGACCCAACTGACTGAATTTGACTCAATTAATGAGTAACAGGTTAGACTTTTATCCTCTCGATCTTTGATAACAGTAATTCTTATTTATTACATTAGAGGCATGCTCAACTATTTCCGTAACTTCTATCTTTTTATTATTTAATTTAGGGTAAATTGTTAAAGTTCTCTCAAATTTTCAGGTTGTTGCTGAAACTTTTATTGTAATCATCTTTCTAAATTTTTTGACATAATTGCAAATAGACCTTATTTATTAAAATCATTTAAAAAAGCATAAAAATGTTGAAAAATATCCATACAATTACTTTATAATAAATTGTTTATTTTCCAATTTTTTCTGTATATGAATCGTTAATCCAAACCCTTTCAATATCTTTTTTTGAAATTGATTTATTTTTCAAATTTACCCATTATATCAATCAATCACTGCAATTTTAAATTCTCTTTGTTTTTGTTGTTTATAAAGTTTGTATTGTTTTTTCTGTAGAAACCAGCCCAACCACATGGGTGTTTTAGACATTTTTGTACCTCTTATTAGAGGATTCTAAGAGAGGGGGTCTATTTGCAACTGTGTTAAGTTCAAGGGAAGAGGTGATTGCAATTACCAAGACTGTGTTTGGTTCCGTGGGCATTAATTGAAAAAACACAGCCACATCAATATCACATAGGCATTGGTATTTATTGCAGATGAAACAAAATGAAACAACTATTTGGTGTACCGTTTATCAAATAAATGGTAGAAAACTTAAACGTTTTGATTTTTGTGCATGGAGTATTTGGGAAAACATCAAATTATTATTTCCTCCCAACACCCATCGTTTCTTGAAACCAAACGTTGATGTGGCACATTTTGATGAGTATTAATTTGAGGTGGAGAGTAAAAAGCATTTAAAGTGAAGCCCAACCAACCAATAAAAACATAAAGCGTTTAAAATAAAAATGTATAAATAAACATTTAAAATGAAAAAGTATAAATAAACAAACAGCCTATCCATAAATACCCACAGAACCAAATCCATAAATGCCCATGAAACCAAACAATAAAAAATTTAAGGGGAGGTTCTAGCAATTTAACCTTTTTACTTATGAGTTATGACATCAAAGATTAAGTCATTTAATCATGTGATTAAACAGTTGACCTGTGACTATGTTAGACATGGATAAAAAAGCAGTTTCATTTTTGGATTGATTGTAAAAGTTAAACATTAATGTTAAATTATTTATATTGTCTTATGAAAGAGCAAGCTTCCTTTTTTTTCGAAGGAAGATGGGTTAAGAGAAATGGAAGAAATTATGTTGAAGAGAGGAGAGATTGAAAGCTGAGTAGGTGGGGAGAGACATGTTAATGGTGAAATAGGATGGAGTTTCAAGAGAGAGATGATATTGCATTTCCACTGTTCCACATGCTAGGGGTGGGGGCTCGTGTAATGGGACAGCCAGAGACAAGGTTTTTAAAACTGACCAGACAGGGACCGGTTCCTGAGTCTAACGGTTCAATCATCCAGTTCGAATGAATGACCCGTTATTATTTAAAAAATAAAAAAGGCCAAAAACTGTTGTCCAGGTCGATAATTCAATTACCTGGGTCAGCAGGTTGCTGATCAAATTAACGGTTTTGGCCAAAAAAAGCGATTTTAGGGTCAAATGGAACAGGTTACCTGACCGGTTCTGATTTTCCGGTCTGACAGTCCAGTCCGATCCCGTTTTGAAAACCATGTGGCATCTCTCTCCCCATATGGTAACCCTCTCTGGGACAGGATCCTTTGTCCTCCCTGCCTTTCTTTTCACACATTTCACAAGCTCTCCCGTTTGAAGACAAGTATACAGAGATGTCTCCTGTTAACTATATCTAAATAACCAAAACCAAAATAAGAAGGGGAAAGACCCAAACCAATGAGCTGTGTGCATGTGTTGTTATAGTAAAGAACTTCATTGAAAGAGTTTCAGTTTTTGAGGCTTGGGCGTTTGGCAAATCATGTAATGTAATTCAAGAAAGCAATCTCGATCTCTCTACAAATTCCATCCAATATTCCATAGAAAGTAGTATGGTTCAAGAATTTCAGAATGCCCTTTCCTCTTTACATTACAATATAAGGAGACAAAGTGGCAGTTTGGTAACAAGGGAAGCAGAGTTTTAACTCTTGAGATCAGATGCAAGTCATCAACCCCTTTCCTTCCCCTGGCTATCCGAGAGCAATAACAAGGTCTCTCTTCTGCATTCTTTCTCAACTATATGATCAGTATCTTCAGCTATCCTTTTGTAACATCTACGTCTTCGGGTTCCAGGTTAGGGAGCTTTAATATGACAGGTCTTGATGAATTTATCAGAGAAGTCAACGTACTTGGCCCATAGTGGCCGGAGCTGGGGAAAAGCTATCTCAAGCCAAGGTTTTGCTCTGCCATTGAAATGGATCACACCAGCCTTTTCAGCGTCGGCAATACTTGTATTTTCCTGGTATCCCAGCCCCAACATGTGCCAAAAGGGATCGATAATGTGAACATGACCATGGAATGCTATCAAACCAGGAGGTAACGTCCCCAGTTGCCAGAGACTAAGATCCGATTTCAAGTTCTGCAAGCAAACCCAAAATATATGAATCAGAAACAAAGAAAATTCTGGGTTTGACGACCCTTCAATGGAAGCAATCAGATATGATAGTAAATAGTAAGAAACACAGTAACTAATGGACGATCGACAACCTTCCGAAGCCAATAATGGTAGGTGCGGCTTATGTTTGTCTTTCTCCACGCCTCCAGGTCAAAAATGTTCATACCATAGGCCCAGGCACATTCACTGGGATCGAAATTTTCTGATATCAATGGATGGGAGAAGTTCAAATAGCTCTTCAATCGCTTGGACATAACGAACTTATCATCTCCTCTGCACGTCTCAACTGCTCCATTCACCTTGCCCTTCATATGGATATCCCAGAGAGGTGAAAGATCAGTTTGGACCACGATGTCGTCATCTAGGAAGACTACCTTATTGAGACTCGGAAATAGCTGTAAGAAGAAATATATACATTCAGTGAGATTGATCAAGCACTGATCGATCTCAATTCTCAAATAGATTAAGTTAATTAAAAGAGGAATTAATAATCAATAACAAAAACCATGATTCCATGATCATTCTTCCTCACGGTTTTCACATCCATACCTCCGGTAAATGTATGCGTATGTGATTCATTACTGAATTATATTTGGGGCTAAGTGCTTGGAGCTTCGATGCGATGACGTAAGGTTTCTCGATGTTATTGGCAACGATCGCCCATGATCCTCCTCTGAACTGCGACCGGAGCTTCTGATCCTTCTTCATCGCCTCCAACACCGTGACCTTCCCCTTGGTAAGCCAATCGAAATGGTGCAACCCTTTAACCTCAATGATCGCCGGCGTTAAAGGGTGCAGAGAGAACCACGCCTGCATGCTAGAATAAGTCTTTCGATCGGTAATGATGTGAAGGACAACCTTTTCGGGACGCAACGAGTTGCGAACCAGAGACGATGCAACCACGGAGGCAGCGAGGACATTGTCGGAGGCAAGGACGAAGTGGAATAATGAGTTGTCGGCGAGGTAAGGTACGTGCTCCGGCGCCGGAAGCTGGAGCCTTGCAGCGGCATTGTTGGAGTGCTCGTTGGCCAGCGTTAGAGCAAAGCAGTGTAGCTGCTTAGGTATGCTACTGGATGCAACGTGGCGGTACAGATATTCTTGGATTTTAGCTGCTCGAGTCTTCTGTTCAAGCAGGGTCACCTGCAGTATCAAGATCAAGTGATTCAGTTTCGTGGTGATGATGATGGAATGCAAAGGATGGGCCCAGAACGGAGGAAATGAATCAAGTTGCAGACTTGGATCCCTTCAGATCTCATCGGTAGTCGGGAGATTATATCCTATCCGTTTTATGCATTTGGGGTGAAATGGGTCGTATCCAGAACCAGAAAGGGCAGATGATGGGACGATCCACACCCATTCCAAACCACTGAATACAGGTATGGAGCAGAATGGGTTCAGAAACATCCACATCCGGTCCGATTAGCAAAAGACTAGATCCGAATTCCATAGGATTTGAGGATCGCGGATATGATTCGGATTTATTCCGATTTTGCTTCATTTTTAAAATAAAGAAAATTAAAAAAAAGGTTAACTTATATATAATATATTAATATAAATATAAAATATTGAATTTATTATATGTAAATGAAGATAAATATTGTACAATATATAAAAGGTGCGGAAATGACATGAAACCTGAAAAACATAGTGGGTTTACCGGGGGTATGGGGTTTGACTGGTTGGGCTTAAATCCACATCCGATTGGATGATGTAAACAGGTCATCCAAATTGGAGATAATGGGATTTGGTGCCAAATCATATTTCAGACTTTCAGCTGTTGATAGCCCTAAACAACTGGACATAATGCTGGCCTGGCCCAAGCCCTAAAATTCTATACCGGGATAGCTCAACCCAAACCAGAGGTCTTAATATTATTTATAATATATATGAATTATATAAAGGGTAAATTGCTGAAACTTCTATTGAAGTTTAATAATTGCAATCATCTGCAATTATTATTGAGGCATAAAATTGCTGAAACTTATTAGAATTTGCTAATAAGAGACATAAAAATGTCCAAAACATTTATGCAATTATTATTGAGGCTAGTTTTTACAATGAAAATGGAGAATTTAAAATTCCAATTTTACCTTTGTGTTATTGATAGAAGGGCAAATTTGAAAAATAAATCAATTTCAAAAAAGAGAGTGAAAGGGTTTGGGCTAGAGAGATTCATATGAAGAGAAAAATTGAAAAATAAACATTTAGTAAAAAATAATTGCATGGATATTTTAGATAATTCCATGCCTCTTTTTAAAAGAATTTAATAAAAAGAATCTATTTGCAACTGTCGGTTTAGGAGAGGTATCAACAATTTACTCTTATATAAATAATATTTATGATATATGTATAATATATTAATATATACAACCTAGGCTCTTTGGAGAAATACAAATACAAATGTGCACAGTTCATATAGCTCTATTTGTACTCTTCTCAAATGGAGCCTTCCATTCAAAATATAATAGGGATGGCAGTTTTCCTTATTTCCCCGATCCCCATAAGGATCTGCCCCGAATGGGGTGGGGATGGGGATAATCTTCCCCCTATGGGGATAAGGATGGGGAAATTTTCATCCCCGTTAATGGGGATGGGCGAGAACAGTGAAAGCACTCCCTACCCTGCAGGGACCCCGATCCCTGCCCTGCGGGATCTCCACTAATATATATGTATATGTGTATGTATACGTTATTTATGTATATTTGTACACATACATCTATATATTAATATTTTAAAAAATGTGGTTGAATATTATAAATTTTAATTATTTTATTTTTACTTTTTAAATAAAATAAAAAACAAAAACAAAATAATTAATATTATAAAAAATCACGAAGAATGGAGATCCATCTATTAAGGAAAAACCCGCCCGGATACCCAGCCTGGACCAACTCCTAAACAAATATCATTCACTCATCAGGCCCAGTGAATGGGCCAGGACAGGCTCGGGCGGCCCAAAATGCTATTGGCGACGCAGAAAAGAAAAGGTTTCGGTTGGGGAAGTAGGTAGTATATAGCGGTACCGGGTAAGTAGCTAAAGCAACAGAATAGATTAAGAAATTGAAAATAAAGAGAAATCAAAGTCTGTTAGTTAGTGCGTTCATACCATAGCCTTGAGCTTCAGCGTGAAGGTCCTCAAGTCGGATTTGTTGTTGCTCTTTGCTTCTGCAACCAACTCCTCCAGTGACAGTGGAACCTCAGATCCTACTTGCGTTTCTTCTTCACCCACTTTTTCTTCTAAGACACGATACATCTCTTCTGGCACATTCTGTATCAAGTATGACTATCAACCATTAAAATTCTCCTGCTTATTGCATCATTCAATTCATGTCTCCAAACAGGATAACAATATGCATGATCAACGAAGAAATCTGAATTAATATTTTGAAGTTACTGGGATTTCAAGATCACCATTGGTTCTGGACTTCTTCCCCAAATCCTCGGTCCTAGTCTCTTCCCCACGCATCCTACAACCAGCAGCCAGCCACCAAGTATTACGATTAATTGCAAAAATTGATGGTAAATAAATCGAAGTTTATGACAGCAAAACGCACGGCACCAGAGTCACCAATCTGGATGGTTTTGATCTATAATTAATTTTTTTAATTTTTTATCCAGGGCTATCAGTCTGTACGTAGTTGGAGTAATTAATTAACATCTAGAAATGGTTATGGATTACGATCATGAAATTAGATCAATTGGGTTGTGCTTAATCGCATTCTAAGATTATTCTTCTGTAAATAGTCTAAAAGCTACAGCAAGTATACTATTTGTACCAATAGACAAAACGTACTTTGAATTTTGTACGACTCAACCTACCAGCCGAGCAACTTCTTATTCAGTGTAGAAAAGAAAACCCAAGTTATGAAATGTTTTCTTTACTGAGTATTTTATTTAAGGTTCTATCTTTTTTATTTTCCACAGAGATATCGGAAAAACTAAAATTGTGTCGGTGGCAATTAATCTATTAGAAATTCAATGCTAGAGAGAGAAACGCAGTGGGATCATGTGTGTACATACCTATGGTAGAGCATTTGGTTTCTCCGTCGATGGTATCCATGGCGGTCATGACGAAGACGAGGCGAAGCAGAAAAGCCAAGAGCAAGAGCGAGTAGAAAATCATCCGATAAGAAACTCGTCTGGCCCCGACCTTCACCTTGATAAATTCCCTCAACCCTTTTCCTGGAAGCACCGTAACGTGGCGCAAACTGGGTGATAGGAGGAGCTGCATTTTGATTGAAAGATGAGCAGCAACGCTAAAGAAGTCGATCCGGTTGTAAACCAGGCCACCGAGGGTTCTTCCTAGCTGGACTCTCTGTAACTATGAAATCATTTGTTGTAAGTCGTCAAGGATGAACCTGATGATTGAATTACAACAGAAAACTGAAATCCATGCCGCGGAGTGGAGGTGCTGTAAGAAAGTAAGGGTGCAGAGTGGGAGCTGGTGTTCAGGCCGCTATCCTTTACCTAACCTTGCTTAGTACTTAGGCTATAATCTCAAATGTTTTCAACCCAAGAAGGGAAGGGTAGTTCCACAGAAAAGGACTTGGGAACTTTTGCATTGGTTTTGGAGAGAGAGTTTTGCATTGTTTGATGGAGTATAGATTTGCTTTGCCTCCAAATGAAGCTAACGAGTTTGGAGGACGTACGAAAATAAATTAAAAAAAAAAAAAAAAATTGAAGTTCAGAATTGGAAACTCAGCATTTGGAAAACCCGGGCCGGGACTCGGACTCGACACGCCAAATCAGGGCATATTCAAGAAACCAATCTTAATATTCTTTTTCATCCAGTGTTTATTTTCTATTAATAAACAAGCTTGGAATCGGTTTGGCCTCGAAAGAAAGACAAGCTGAAACGAGGAAGGTTGGAAGCAAGTTTGAGTGCCCATAAAATAAACAATAGTCTGCCTTTGCCAATATTTGTGGTAATCAAAGAAATGTTATGATGATGTTGTACCAAACAGGTATGAATCGCTTTGAATGATGTCAGGGTCGGGTAGGGTGAGAGAGAATAAAGAACAGGAAGGAACAGGAGCAAATTATATGTTTTCAGAGGCAGGTAGCCAAAGCCCAAGTGTATAAAAAAAAGGTTTGACAATGACGAATTTTAACTTTAAACTTTAGACACGTTAATGTGATGAGAATAATGCTACCCCATCATTCATGGCATCATCCTATTCCCATGTCATGGACCTCGACAATTTTATTAGCATTTTGACATTAGGGGTATTTGCTGGTTGTAACATCAATTTCTCAATGACGTCAAACTGGATGCATTTGTGGTGGTGGGACTTCCGAGGGTGCAGGGGATTTCCAGCTAACAAAACACCTTCTAACTCTTTTAATTTGATCTAACACCACACATCTCATGATCAAACAGGGACACACCATAATGTATGAGACGTGCAGTGTCAGATCATATTGATAATAAGTTGTTGGAATTTATTTTGTTTGCATGTGATTCCGACTAGCAACCGTGCAGGTGGATTCACAGCAGACTCACAGCAGATGCACATGCACTCGCCAATCGGTTCCCACCCTATCGGCCAAGGGCATTCATAAAAAAAGGAGGCTGGATATGCTAATCACACCATCTTCCAACGTAATCTACACCCACACATCTTAATTCTTAAACTTAAAGGGAAATTTTTACCTAAGCCGTTAAGTGACATGTACATTGACAAAAATGCCCTTCAAGACAAACCAATGAAAGGGACATTATTTATCGTCTTCTTTCTCAAGAAAATGAAACAGACCCCAAAACACACGTCCCTTTCGTCTTCTTTCGTTCATGTGACCTCCTTCTACTCTTCTTTCTTTTTTTGCTGCTCCAAAACCCTAATTTTGCCTTCTCTCTATCCCCCAACGGTCTCTCCCTTCTAGCTTTGAAGTCTGTCGTCGACCAAATGTAAGGCATCTCGGCATTCTCCAACTGGAACGAAAACGACACCGATCCATGCATGTGGAAGGGTGCACATGGTAAGGGGAGTTGTCGGTGACGATAAGCTTCGATATATATATATATATATATATGTCGATCATCTCATAACTAAACTTGTCGTTGTATAAAACCCCCGCCGGAGAATGAACTAGAGGAAGATCGATAAAAACGCTTCCTCTGTTCTGCTAAGAACTTTCACGTCACCTCCACCTGGAAAATGGGTCGGTTATCACCATTGGTCGTAAACAGCATCACCGTGAAAATCCCTCTGAAGCCCGTTCCAGCGGCAACGTCAAAATAATCTACTATTCTTGCATCTGGATTTCCGGATTTGGTCTTGAGAGCTTGTTCTAGGTAAGCTAGGGCTTTTCCTGAGAGGATCCCTCTCATTCCTCTGCCATCAATGCTAAGAATGCAGACCTTACCTCTCTGATTCTTGATCGCCCCCATGCTGTTACCGGGGGTTGTCGGAGATGTAGTTTCGGATTTTGTTTCTATGGCTGGAGCGATCTATTTGGGAATCCATAGTTTCTGATCATTGTAGCCGAAGAGAATTACTTTCCAGAATAGTGATCTCATAACTAAGCTTGTCGGTATTGATGCTCGGTTCTTGCATTTCTGATGGATTCCAAGCCAATTGTAAAACAGAAGTAATTGCATACCTTGATTTAATTTTTTTCTTTTTCTATTTCTTAACTACTTTGCATGCTATCAGTACCAGAGACCATTTCAAACTTAGCTCCTTGTTGACATGGTGTTAACGCTTACGAAATGGGTTCAGATCAGCCGTCGCTCTATTTCTCTGTGAAGAAGATGAACAGTGTTAAGCACCCCAATATTGTAAGGTTAAGGGCTTATTACTGGGCTGCTGATAAAAAGCTTCTTCAATGGCGATGTTGGGGTGGAACCAGGCATGGTTGGAGCCATTGCTGCAAGCATTCTTCGGTGCGGCAAAGAACATTTGGCTGGTGGTGGACCTCCATCAAGAGATTTGGGTTCTTGGAATCTAATCTTCATTTTCTTGAGAAAAAAATGATGAATAGTGTGTTTGGGCTCTGTTTCATACAGTGTCGAAGGGTAGTTTTGACATTTTTAAGTCTTAAATCTCACATGAAGTCACGTGATATGCATAACTAACGATTTATTAATGATAGGCACTAGATTGTTACAAAATGAAAGTTAGGGTACTAGATTGTCGTGTTTTAAAGTTCGGGTACTAAATAGACACTCAGCCTAAAGTACCTATCGAGAATTTTCCCAAAATTAAACACCACACATTTCAAACATGATTGTTGTCTAAAAATAAATTAAACAGTGCAGCTGATCATTTTGGAAGCTGTGTAGGTAGCGACTTGAACTTGTCCATGCATGTCATTTGGCAGATCTGGACTCCTGTTAAAAGAGCCACAATAATCAGCCCACCTCACGAATTCCAACCCCAACAAGATTCCCTGCAAGCATGGTTGGGAGGAGTTGAGATTTTCTGTCAACAAAACACGTTCTAACCCTCTACCAAGTTGAGACTGAGACCCACCATATATGAGATGTACAGCATAAGATTACATTGGTAGAGGGTTGGAAGGTGATCCAGATTGGGTTGGGAGAACCCCCCCATGTATTGGAGACGTCCCATTATTGCTTGGAACTTTGCAAGAGATCCAAACTCATTCTAGCCATCTTTCCAAACAAGAATAGACCAATGCTTTAAGACCCGGAGCAAACTAAAAACCAGAATGGTCTCCAGATCCCAGCTTTACCAATTAACCGAGTTGTTTGCCCATCCAACCCGTGAAAACCATCATTTAACTGCGACCTAGAAAGGCCACCAGTTCTCAATTTTCACAGTCCAACCATCCAGTCCAGGCTGAGCCTTAAAACATTGGAATGATCCAGGAGCCACCTAAAGGCTTAAGCAGATGACAAACTGTACCACCGTGGTTGCGGGGAAGGGGTGAGATGGATGGGTCCGACGACGACTCAGAAATTTAAAGCTCTTGCTGAAGCAGAGTCCGTTCAAATTATTGTAATCTCATGCTGCCTCGTGGAAACAGGTCCCTCCAAGGAATTCGCAACAGCGTGTATTGGGAACACCAAGTTCACATCTGCGCACAGGGCACCCCACAACGTCCCCACAATGTATTGGGAACATCTCCCTATAATAACATCATTTCTGATACTATCATCGAAAAATGATCCCAATACACGGTGGAGATATGCTGTGGGATGTTGTAGGGCACAGATCTAAACTCGGAAACACCTCCCCATGACAAGTACGGGGGGAGATGTTCCCAATGCACGTTGAGATGTGCATGTGGGGTGCCTCCATGCTCCACGCCTCCATGCCTCCACCCCCTCTTCCAGGCTCCAGCTTCCCATCCATTTGGCAAAAATCCTTGGCATCCCTCGGTCGTATACGGAGACCAAGGTCAAAACCTCGGCCCTCAACACAACATATCGATTGCCAGAACCCAGAGTGAGCGAGTAAGAATTCGACCAGTTGGCCCATATTTTGTGATTTTATCATTACCCCGCTTTCCCGTCTGAGAAAAAGATTGAACCAGCTAACATATCCATGATTTATCAGCTACATATATTCAGCAACTTCAAATTTTGTCCTACATTAATTTTACCTCCATGGGGAATTCAGACTTTCAACATCATTCACTCCACACTAACGTTTAATGTTTGGTGAGTTACTAATTTCTAATGCAGAAGAATGGTGAGCTGAACTTCGAAATGAAATATACCAGCCAATTTCTTGTACCCAACCAGCGTAGGACATGTCCAGAAAGGTGGGTAGGTAGGGCACAACACAAAGGGAAAATGTAAGCATCTTAAATGAAACCCAATCAGGACTACAACAATGAGATATCAAGTAACCAGACACTTGCTAGGCCAGCAATGGATGTATTATAGATAGAACAGCAAAAGTACCAAGGCAACTATACAAAGGATCACCTTCATCCATTAAAAAATAATAAGAAAAAGGAATAATTGTGTGGCAATTAACTTGACAAAGAACACGAGGACTCGCAATGGACATGGTTCACTCTGCACATGATGGAAATTGAACTACCACCTATGGTTCTTGCACAAGACTACCCAAACAATTAAGGATACTACAGATGAACTCAAGTGACAACTGACAAGAACTACATCCTCAAATAAAAACAATGCAGAGGATTAGAGGAAGAAGATTTTAACCATTTTAGAAAATTTCATAGAAAACTCGAGTTTAATACAAATAACCTAATGCACAAATTTTTAACAAGGAAAGCCTCTTCCCAGAAAATATTGGGGAATTATGCAGTTCCTTCGCTGGACAACCTGATAACATAGCCTAACCACTGGCTGTAAATTTCTTTAATTACTTCGAAGCCAGTTGATCAAACGGTGAACTCACATCATATCATGTTGGGCAATGGGAGGCAGCTGGTTCAATCCCAAAACATAGCCAAAAAATAGCATTAGAAGCTGAAACTAAAAGTGATACAGAATGCTAGCATAGAATGGAGTAAATGAATAAAATAAAGCTAAAACTGGACGATGAAGTACTATGTCAGAATATAGACCAGAATGGAAGTAGTTGTCAGAACATAACCATTGTATATCTGGTAATTGCATTTTGCATCATCTATAAACAGTGTGGACGTAAAGGATACCTGGTTATGGCCTAGACTAATACTTACTCATGAATTAATTTTGATCTGGTAATCCAAAGAACTGCTCCAAGGTTGGTGACGAGAACACATTGGAAGCAGTACGTTCTGGTCTGTTTGGAGTGATGTGAAGCTGATATTTGATGAACCTCTGAACCAATAAAAAAGATAACTTAGATGCCATGCATTCTTAAGAATATATACTCTACTTCTAGAGATCTATAAACACACTGATTGAATAATAGTCTAAGAAAATGGAGACAGATAAAGAAATATACAGCCAACTGGAAGATGATCTCAGGATTTGTGTCAATGTGCCAATCAGGTTCAAGTTGTCGTACAAAAGATGTCCTCCCATTCTCTGTGCTACAGAAGAGAACCTGCAGGTACATGTGCAGCATCATAAATGGACTACAAATTGGCTAGAAAACATTATGTGCAGTTGTACCCTTTATTTTTGTAAAGATGTATGAAATATTGTGAAGGAAAACACCATTATCTCAACTCAACTCAGCCTTAATCCCAACTATTTGGGGTAAGAAATGGCATTTAACGTATCAAGGAAAACACCATTATGCAAACAACAAATAAGAATATGCCTTCTGTTTATTATCAAAAACCAATCAGATTAAAGCTTGAATAGAAATCCATAACAAGCTTTCAGGAGGTCAATCAATTAATGGACTTTTTTTCTTTCGATTCACAAAGTTCAGATTCCCATTATTTCTGAAAACCTCCACAATTGCAAGATAAAGGTTTGTATCTTCTGATAACATATCATTTGCGTCATGCTGATTAATATTTTGGATAATAAAAGTTATTAGGGGGATCTTGTCCAGTGATGGAAGTACAGTAATATTTTCTTAACCACCTTGTAGTATCATAGATGATGATGCAACTGCAATGATCCTTTTCCAACCATCAACTGATATATCCAAGATCTTTCCCATAAATACACATAATTCAATTTAAGTCAACTCAAACCAGAAAACAGGTTGGTGAACAATTAAAAAACGCTTTAAAGATGCTCATAATATCAACAGGACTTCCTTCTAGGTCACAGCTTAATGATAGCTGAGACACTATAAGGTATAAGCTATGGCACGCAGAGCTTTCACCCCCCCCCAACCAATATCCACAATGTACAATAAATGATCCAATTAGCTGTAAAAAAAAATCCACATTGCACTAGACATGACATGGGTGTGGAAATGGCTTGTGTGACCTGCCAGATCTATATCCTTTTTCCAATAATTTTGATGGACTTCCAATCAAAACTAAATAAATAGTTTTGATGGATTGTGTACATATGCACTCAAAGGATGTAAATTATTAACTGTTCTTTAAATAGCTCCCAATTAGAAGTTTAAAACTGCATTTATGCAATGGTCATTGAGGAATATTTCTCTAAGCTTATGCAAAGTTGAATTTCAATAATTTCAACTTGAGTTTTCAAATATCACCTTACATCTCATATATTGCATTCTTTGTTGTCAACTCTGTTTTCAGATATTACCTTGTTTGCATGATCAGAAATTGATATTTATCATCCAGCATACCATGTATACATAGTTTTGAAGGCACCAAGGCGAGGCTAGGCGACAGGGGGTGCCTTGTCGTCTAGTCGCCTAGGAGATGGATTCTAACCACATTTCCTTAATAATTATTCATAATTTTCATAAGTATAAAGTTCATGCTAAAGTATAGAAAATCAACATATTCGTGAGACAAAAAAGAAGAAAGAAAAGAAAACTGAAAAAATATAGGGGCTTTTTTTGTTATAGGAAAGGAAGAAAAGAAAAAGTAGAAAATATGGAAGAAAAAGTAGAAGAAAAGAATACAAGAGGAAAAAGAAGATATGGAGGAAGAAAATGTGTTGATTAGACAAAATTTTAAGTTCTACCTTATTGTTTCAGGTTTTGAAGTCTTCGAGGGTTCAATACAACACTTAGCAATGTTTGTGTTGATTAAACCCTAACAAATAAGAAAATAATAAAAAAGAAAACGTAGTAGGAAAGAAGCATTTTTTTGTTGTCAAAAACATTCTGCATACATTAGAAAATATGCATCATTTTCTGCATACATTAGAAAATATGCACCATTTTCTGCATAGATTAGAAAACATGCACCATTTTCTGCATTTTTATTCCTGGTTAGATTTTGTTTTGCTTGCTGGGGGGCAGCCTTTGACTTCAGTTAGGTGCATCTCCTAGTCTGCTGATCTATTTTTTTTCTTTGGTGTTCTGTTGCACTTGGTTTTTGGAAATTAAATATCCAAAGGTTCAAAGTATCAATACACCCCAGTAGGCCGGAAGGGGTGTATTGGTACTTTGAACCTAAAGGGCAGCCCAGTGCACGAGGCTCCCACCAATGCATGCTCTGGGGAGGGATAGATGCACACAGCCTTACCCCTGCACTCCAAGGTTCAAAGTATTGATACACCCCGACATGCCGGAAGGGGTGTAATCGGTACTTTGAACCTCACGCATCATGTTTTTTTTTAGTTTTTGTTTCAAAATTTCAGAGGTGGCCTATTTTAATGCTATTTAACAATTAAAAAATTGTTTTCCCGAAATACCTTTAAAAAGCCGTAAGGCAGGTACATGTTGATACTTTGAACCTTGAAAATATCTATTACAAAAAAAATAAAATGTCATGTATCCAATATATAATTTCATTGGTGGATCAGTCTGTGGATGGTCCATGCAATCTATGATTTTGGGGTTAAGATGGGTTCAACTCTTAGACACCCACACAAGACACACCTGGACCTGTGTAACACACGAGTGATTAATCAGAGTGAAGCAGTTCAAGGGGCACATTAAGAAAATTTGAAAATTCCACGTAGACTTGTGTTCAAACTTCAAAGAGAACCTAAGTAAATAAGTGGGTTTTTTTAGGGGGACCCAGTGCTTAGAATAATACGATTCATATAGCATCTTACAGCAGCAAGCATAAACAGCATTTCGCATAATTCCAGCACAAGAAAATTATCATAATCAAGACCAAAGTAGCTTTATGTTTTAATTTTTTTTCAGTTAATTCTTTTTTTAAGGAAAAAGTGAAGTATAATTGTATTGGTGATTGAAAGAGAAAGTATAACTTTTTCAATTAATTCTTTTCTAGCACATAATGAAAATTACCTTGTCTTTGACCAAACCACCAGAAGTGAAAACCCCAGCATTCTCTAAAGCTAAAAGAACTTTTTCCTGCACAAGATATTCTCTCATGAATGGCAAGTAACAAGTTTAAATGCAAATCAGAATAAATGAGTATCACAATGCATGGAAAGTTATAAACCCAAGAATATAATGGCCCTTTTTCCAAAGGAATGATTTTTATATACATAATGAGGAAAAAAAGTAGCTGTGCAATATGAAAAGATCCAGTATTACATGGTCTCATATAGCTATGCACTATCATTTGTTAGAAAAAGTATTGATATTTTTCCAGTTCTCCTCAAAGGTCTCCTTCTCTAAATAGAAGTACCTATTACCCAATCAAAATTCAACAAAATGAGGTTCATAAGAGCTAGAAGAATGCAAAAAGGAAACTACAACTAATAGATACCATCCATGGTTAGCCAACTCCTCTACTTTTTTCTTTTTCTTTTTTACTTTTTTAACGAAAATGATGATGATGATGATAATATATCAGGGCAATATGAAAGAAGAAGATTTACACGCACCCCACTTTCATCGTCCAGTATTCTTTCCATGAGATAAAGATCACAGAATTTTGTGATCTCTAACAGTACTTCCAGAACAGAAGATCTCACAGTTGCTTGTTTCTGCTCAGAAGGAAAAGTAGATAAATTTCACTCATCTTGCATTTTCCTTTTCTATGTCAATGCCAGGAATGAAGAGGAACACTGACCTGGAGCTCCTCAGGACTGCTCTCCTCAAGGATTACACCAAGCAATCGACATGTGACCTACAAAGACCAAGTCCCATGGGTGTAAAAATAAAGAACAACTAATCCTTCAAGACATATAATCAATGCATGTTGTAGTACCTCACAGTATTATCCAAAGAAAAATATATATTTAACCCCATTGGACAGTTACCAGAAGCAAAAGCAATACCATGAAGTGAAGCTGATATCAGCCTCAATTTGCAAATTGCTTAAGACTCTTGATGATTTGGACAATGAAGAGCTGAGTGTAAGACAAAATCCTCCCCTCCTGGCCTCTCCCCACCTTTTTTGACAAATCAGCTTTCTATATATAGTAATGGTTGAGACCCTCTTCTTTAGTCACGTGAACATTCGATATGACCAATACAGAACATCCATAAGATAGTTATAAAGTGACTTTTGCGAGAGGGATTTAAATGCATGACTCACCCATTCAAAGTGATTTACATAAAACTAATTTTAAGAATAAATGGTTTAAGTAGAATCTGAAAATGTTCAAGATCACCATTACTCTCTTAACCCATTTAGAAGTTCAAGGAGGGTATTAATTATTTGAAACCAAAAGAGGGGGAGACAAATTTGGAAGAAAATATTAGCATCATTAGATATATAAGAACTTATAATTATATCTATATGTGTAAGACAGAAACAGAGAGAGTTCAATGCGAAAAAAAAATAACTACTAGTGGGTATTACCCAAAAGATGTAGATTTGACTCATTTCCCTCGTATTTTGAAGCTAAACTGCACTTGTAGGTTTATGGTATTTACATTTTGTGCGTCTAGATTCTACAGCGGATTGGTAGTGAATTAATCTTCACCATGTAAGTCTACACAGTAGGAATAACTACACCACTCAAGTCGCATGAATCGAGCCACTATAGTTTTCCTTACAGTTGTAGCTCATGGGTTTATAGCTGATGCATGCTCTAGGCTATTCTAAAGGCCTGTTTCGGAGGGCTAGCCAAAGGTTCAGCTAAGCTTGTTCAGTTGCTTTGAAGTGCTCTGGATAAGCTATTCAAAGAGGCTGAAACAGACAGCCCTTCAAATGAATGACTGACAGACGATTTTAGCTCTCTGGATTTTTCACTAAACAAAGCTTATAGGCTGTTCATGTGGGGCCAACCTGGGACATCCAGAATCTGTTGTGCTTCAGCCCCCACGAATGGGCATTAAATTTGGGATTGAAACTGACTTCAAGATTGTATTTGTTGGTTAAAGAGATAGAGGAGAAGATCCAGAGGTTTATGACAGTGTATCGAATAGGCTGTATCAACTTTGGAATTCGGATGTGCTTCCCAATTCATCTTTTTTGTCTTTCCAACTCAAACTCCTAGATATGCATCGGACTGACTCCCATGTCTATGCCTATGCAACATTGGATGATGGTAATGTTGAAAACACCAAGAGCCTTTTAAAACATCATTTAAACTGCCATATTGGAGCATGATAGGCCACTTAGACTGCCTCTATGGTAATAAGAAAATAAACTACAAGAGGAGAAAACACTTCAGTAAAGCTAGTTGAATTCTTCATGTAACATTAACAAATCTAAAATATGATAGTTCAATATGCATCAATAGCTGCATTATAAAATAAAGCTCTTAGTTAAAGATATAGCACTTCCCCCACAGCAATGGGAGTTACTCAGGACATCTATAGAAGATTATCACCAAATATTAACAATATCAAATTGCCAAGCATAATATCCACCATTTAAGGAATCAATCTACTGATATATTAACTATGTCACCTGAAAACCAATGAAAAACAATTTTGAAAATAATAATGGTATCATAAAATCACAGAGAGGGTTGAATTGAACCCTCTCAGAAATTTGTATATTTCATATTGTATATTGTAAAATTATTTCTGTCTTTCAGAAATTTGTCAAGTAATTAGAAATATGCATGATAAAAGCTCAAACATATATAAAATTATTTTACCCCACTTTCAATCTATATCCACCACATATATATTTATTCAAAAAATTGTCACTTTTACACCATAGTTCTGAGATGATATAATTAAGTTTGATTTTAAATTCAATTAACCAATACAAAATGAATTAACACACTATATATGAAGGAAAATATTCATAAAAGAGTATTTATGTAGGTTCAAACAACCAAACTAATTCTTATTCTAGTAAAGGTTCAAAACAAAATACTGTTAAAAGATTACAGAAAATAAGTGACAATGTACATAACCAAGTCCAGTCAAATATCATTAATTGCATGAACCAGATAAACCAAAAGATTCACAAAAATGGGTCATACCGCCATAAGACTCAGACAGTAATCACAAGATTTTTTTTCAGAAAACGAGTCAATCATAAGATCCAAAGCATAACCCTCAGGATTCATGATTTAAATAATGGATCGTATCATAAATTATAAGATACTGACAACATTGGTTGAAAGGAATTTCTCTGAATCCCATCCCACCACCTTCCTAAAGTTTGCAGAGCCATTTTAACTGGAAAATTTTATTTTATTCTATTTTATTATTTCCTTCTCAGATTAGAAGGAAAAATACTACTTTCCATGCAGGTAGCTATGGATGATGTACAACACAAACAAGACCTCCTGTAGTAAATAGATCCTATTTTGACAGACTTAGCATTAGCCACATTCATCAAGTTCTAGTTTATTTAAACATGGCAACATCAACAACCATATCAAATTAGTAAACTAACCAAGTAACCATCTAATGTAATAACATGTACTTGGTGCATAAATCGAGAAGATAGATAAATTACCTTCCTTCCCTCACTCAATTTTTGCCTTACTATTTGTCCTAATGTTGGCTGCAAAAAAAAAAAAGAAAAAAACAAAAGATAATAAATGGCATTAAATTTCATTCACTAGAACAGGACATAAATCACATAAAAAGCATCATGTGAAACCTTTACTGGCTGAAAGAATTCATCAATCACATTCTGTGCTCTTGAAGACTCTGAAGAAGAATCCGGGGCAACTAGAGTTACATCTGAATGAGTATTGATCCCAGAAGTACTAGGTGCAGGAGCGTGTCGTTTTGGTTGTCTTCTTTGGTGCCTGGGGGGAGTTCTCAACAATCTCCAGGTAAAGACTATTGCAATAGCAAGCCCCGCAAGAGCCCCAAAAGAACGAGAATTCTGATATTTATAACAAAGCAGTGAGAAACTTCCCATCTGTCATTTAGTTAGATGGACATGATAAAATTTTGCATAAGGCATTTTTTCAGTTTTTCTAACAGTAAAATCAGAATTTTTATCATTATTTAAGCGGCATCAAATGCTATATAACCTCGTGAAGCACAACCATCAAGTGGAAACACAACGAACAAGAGACAAAGAAAAAGAAAGACAGAACCCAACTAAGAGAAAATACGAGTACTTTTCCTTTCCTCATACGAAATCCAACAGAGGCATTTGGAACGAGAAGCGAGCAAGTATTCAAGAAAGAAGGGTATCACTTAGGGTAACCGTTGAGGTGAGGTATTGCTTTTATTACAAACAAACCTCAATGACCAAAATCCCACTAAGGATAAGCAACAACAGGCACTGATACAACTCATTTTATCTCTTAATCTATCGGATATATCAAATTAAGATTCATATTCCCTTATTATCAGAAAACATAATTGGTCTAAACGTCAACCAAACAATCGTTATGAAACACAAATCGACCTGAAAGATCATCTAATAAGAAGAATTATCAATTAATCCAGAAATTTCTTCAGCAGAAGCAAATAAAAGGAGAAAGGGGGAGGGGGCATATAGGAAAACCGCACAGATCCGTAAAGGGGGTTTCATAAATTCTAACTGAGAAGAAATCAAAGAGAGGGAAAGATGAGAACCAGTTGTCTGAAGGAGATCGAGAAGAGATTAGACAACTTGACAGTGAGATAAGCACCGAATCTCTTGAGCAACTGAACCAGTTCTTCCTTGGATGAGTCACCCATCCCGAACTTCCAAAAGGAGTCTTTATCGTCGTTTCGTCTCCGATGTATCAGAGAACAAGCCCTAATAAAGTCGAATCAGCCATGGCTTCTGCTGTGGATTTCGCGGGAGGAACCCCTTTCGTCGTCAACAAGAGAGAAAGACTCCTTGCTAGAGGGACTTATAGCTGTACGTGTGTTGCGGGAAATGAAATTACAGACCCTTTCTCTATTTATTTACCCGTTTTTAAAAGGGAAAATTAGTATTGGGGTACTTTGGGCCTGGTGTCACTTTCGTCGCACTAAAAAAATGCGACAATTCACTATCCCAACTTTTAATCAGTATTCATCGTTAATCAATTGTTAATTAACCGTTAAATTCTAATTTTTTTTTATCAACTATTCAACCATTCAATTGTTGACATTTTTAAATTTTTATCTTTTTTATTTAAGAAAATTGAGGTTTAAAATATTTCCTGATGGTCCATCTTAACTTTCTTTAATAGAAGAAGTAAGAATTTGGGATTGTTAATTTTTGTCAATATTTAAATGGTTGATAAAGAAAATTAGATGAGAGGCATTTGTGTCTTTTTCAAATATCACTTAACAGCTGATTAACTATAAGTATTAGATTGAACCTTATGAAAGTTTGGGTACTGAATTATCTATCTATCTCTATCTATCTATCTACCTATATATATATATATATATATATATATATATATATATATATATATAT